TCCCTACACCGCCAAGGAATTTGGCTGAGAAGCTGAGAGACGCACGGCTGTAATCCGCAAACCGTTGCTTTCGAAGGGTCTCCAGAGTAACTTGATAAGACCTCCAATGGCTGCAGTTTAGAAGTCGCTTCCAGCGCTCTGCCTTGGAAATAGTCCAGGAAGCTTTAAGTGGCCCGTTATAATGTAAGCGATTGATGAGTCCGGTGTAAAAAGCAGAGGATCCTTCCGCACCTAGCTGCGCCCCCCCCCCCCCCCTGCCCCTTTAAAAAAGGGCCCGCCGCTTGACCCGCCCCCTTTTCCCCTTATTTATTTTGGTCCGGGACTATTTGCATAGCTCTAGCGTGCGCTGGGAGGAAACGGAGGAGGGGTTGGGAGAGGCAATCCATTTAGGAATCCCCGGGGAGGGCCGCGAGCAGGGGCTCCCCTCCCCAGTCCCAGAGTAGTGAGGGAGGAGAGTCCGTCCGTCACCCACCTACCTACCCACCCACCCCTACTCCTGCCCCCGCCCTGCGCAGCTGGAGGGCCATGCTCGGGAAAGAGGCCACACTTCCCAAACTTCCTGCCCCACTTTCGCGGCCGCCGGCTGCCAAGAGCTGCTGCTGCCGCTGAGCGAGCAGGACAGGCACAGGAGCCGCCGGGCGCCCGCCACCTCCAGCTCCCAGGGGGGGAAGCGGAGCGCCTGCAGCGTCTTCCCCGGCGGAGCGCGCGCGCAATGAGCGAGCCTCGGGAACAGGCGGCGGCGGCGGCAGCGGCGGCTTCGCCCCAAGGCGGCTGCCGGTGTGCTGGCGGGGGAGTTGGCAGGGCCCCCGCCGTCCTCTCGCTCCTCTTCTCGCTCCTCTCGGTGGGCGCCTGCTTCTTGCTCAGCGCCAGGACGTCCAAGCTACAGGGCCGGCTGGTGGCCCTCGAGGGAGAGCTGGCCAGCCGCGCTTGGAGCCCCGGAGACCAACTCGACGCGGAGCCTTGGCTCGCCCTGCTTCAGCCTCAGGTGGACAGAGTTTTGCAGGAGGTGAGTGAGGCGGGAGAGGGCGGCTTGGCTTCTCTGCCCTGCCCCTGCTGGAATAAAGAGCAGACGGGGCTACATTTTGAGCCAAGGCTGGTCCCAGAGAAACCGCTTCTGATTGGCGGGGCTGAGACCCAGAATGCGTAAAGGTCAACTAAAAAGAGGCCCGCGGTGGCACCTTCAACTCTTCATTCCGGGGCCGCTGAGTTAAGCTTAAAGGCCAACACGTGCGTTGTGCTTGCAGCCCAAGGAAGGGGACTGTCGCCTGCAAAAGTGTATAACTGCAATATATGGGTTAGACTTTAGAGTCCTCCACAAGACGCTCCGGCTTCTGGTGCAACAGGCAAACCGTGTTACCTCCTCTGACCCTTAACTGCTGGAGGCAGGCAGACTGGAATCTGCCCTTATTGGGTGCAGGGCATGCGCTGAGCTAGGACGAACCTTGGAATATAATGGGAAGATAGCGTCTTTGAGCATGTGCAGAGTGCCTTTTGTCACTGCTGAGTCAGTGTAACAGATTCATGCCATCTGGAGAAGAGCCTCTGTATCAAAAAATGTGACCCAAGCAGGCTTTCTTGCTTGCTGTTTTGCGATCAAGGCATTTGTGATCAAATTTTAAAAATAAAAAATACTCTACAGTTGTGTTGATCTCTAATATGGACTGCTGGAAGGTAGCTTAGGAAGAAGATGGGCATTCAGTTTTGTAATTAACAGGGTCCCTCAAATTACTCTCTACAACCTTACCCTAAATAGCACTTCAACATTTATTTAGTAACTTCATCTATACCCCACCTTCCTCCCTACTGAGATATTGTTATTTATTTATTTATTTATTGTATGACAATTCTACCTTGCCTCTTTGTGATGCACCCTGGATAATGCTAAACACCTAGAACTTCTGGTTGTCAGATAATCATAGGATCGCCTGGCTGCACTACACACATGGAAATAATCAACCAATCAAACAGTCCTTCTCAGGACTACTTGACAAGGGGTATAAGAGACTGCATCAAAATCTGCCTGCTGAGATCAAGTGGAATGAAGCAGCTTTCATTATTTTCTTTTCCTCAATTTTCTCCTCACAATAGCCCTGTGAGGTACGTTAGGCTGAGAGTTCATGAGTCGCCCAAGGTCACCCAGTAAGCTTCTATGGCACATGGGGATTTGAACCTGGGCTTCCAAATCCTAGTTCACCACTACACCACACTGGCTCTCAAATACATAATGAGGTTTAAGAAAATTGTATTTTGTTTTGCATATTTTCATAAGGTTGCCTTTTCCCCCTGCAAACTGTGATTGATACTTTGGTGATCTCTGAAAAGCTTTTGTGTTAGCAAAAATGTATTCCCAATTATCTCTGCCCAGTTGTATAGTACATTGTGTCAAAACCTGACACAATGTACTATACCCTTTGGTTGGTTTGACCTTTTGTTGTATAGGTTCGTGGCAGGAAAAGACAGAAATTTATTTGGGCTGGTTGTCTTTACAAAGAAACTGGAGCTTGTGGTCAGCTGTTTGGTGGAGTGGGGTGTGTGTGTCAGGAACAGAGCTTTCATTCCCATGAATCTGTCACTTGGCTTTTCAGTGTATGAACTGTACAGTGCGGCTAAAGAGACATTTCAGACGTGGTTGAGTTGTAAATACTTAATGCAAAATCCACGCAAAACAAGGTCAGAACAAGGGAAGCACATGCATAATGTTTTTTCTCATCATGTGTAAAATGTATATATCCAGTACTAGATACTTAATGCAAAATCCATGCAAAGCAAGGTCAGAACAAAGGAAGCACATGCATAATGTTTTTTCTCATCATGTGTAAAATGTATATATCCAGTACTTGAAAACCAACATGCAATTGGTTAATGTTCAAACAATACCAGGGATAGAACCTGACAGCAATATCTTTCTTAAAATCTTTCTTAAATATCACATGCTTTTTTGCTCTAGGAAAACAGTAGCAAGGAATTTTAGGCTAATAATTAATAATAATTATTGTTTGGCATTGTAGAATAGTCAGGAGAGCCTAAGGTTTTCTGGCAGCCAGAAGTTCTAGCTTTTTAGTATTATGCACCACTAGGTGGTGAGCAGGGATCATTTCGTAGAAAAAGAGCTAGGGGGACTCATTAGCATAACTCATTAGCATATGCCACACCCCCTGACATCACCGGAAGTGTGTCCTCCCCACAGCCGGCGGCGACCTCCAGCAGGCACCAGCAGGGAGCTCCAGGCCCCGCCCTCCCGCACCTCACCCGGGGGGATGGCGTCCCCCCGCGTCCCCCCCCAAATGACCCCTAGTGGTGAGCTAGATTTGCTTTTAAGGAAGGAGACATTTCAGAGGTGGTTTACCATTGCCTGCTTCTGCGTCACAACCCTGGTATTCCGTGGAGGTTGCCCATCCAGATACTAGCCAAGGCTGGCCCTGCTTAGCTTCCGAGATCTGATGAGATGGGGCTAGCCTGGCCATCCAGGTCATCCCATCATCAGATACAAGTAGATGAAGATACACGAGTCCTTATATTCCAGTCTGGATGTGGGAGGAGTGTTGCAAAGAACCATGCCAGGATGGAGGATGAAGAGGTGCAATGCAAAAAGTAATTAGCTTGATCAGAGGTCATTTCGGGGGGATCGCGGGGATCGCAGTTCCCCTGGGTGAGGTACGGGGGGCGGGGCACATGATGAAGCCCTGCCCCCTGCTTCCGGCCCTCATTCAGCCAGGAGGAGGCAGGAGAAGAGGGAGGGTAAGTTGCTTCCTCCCTGCCTCTCCCCACCCCTGCCT